GGAAATAAATATGAAAGAATAATGAAACAAGTAAATATTGAACATTATAAGGTTTAGATATATAGGAATGTATTAAACACCGAATACGCATTGTACATATGCCAACATGAAAGTTTTATAACAATTAATTCCTTATAATCATGAACACCTCAACAAAGACACAATTATATGCATAAGTATCCTTGGTTATGTAATCATCATTTATTATACGAACCTGTTCCTCATAATCATTTCGTTCACGGATGCTTGCAGCTAATCCCATGATATATGTGTCTACAGGAGCTCGCTCCTTAGACCAGCAAGATTCAATTATTTGACAACTTGCCTTGGTGACGCTCTCAAACATCGCCCCTTGGTTGCTTCTCAATGTATCAGCCTGTAAAACTAACATTTTAAAGTTAAAAGATAAATAAATAACAAAACTTCATAATATCAAATGCCAAATAAAACGGGATATTTAAAAGCTGAAAAACTTGCACCTGTGCACAAACAGTCAGAACAATTGGTTTCAATCGAATGAGCAAAATTCGCAACGGCTGGCCTCCTCTGGCAATAGCAATTTCTGCTACTCCAAGAAGCAAGGAACTAAAAAGCTCTTCACAAGTTTTCAATTTCCGCCACACAGAGAGTAAGCATGCCTCAGCAGCATCAATTAATAATGCAACTGCCCCATAAACTAACCTCTTCACAGATTTCCCATCAGAATCCAGTGATGAGAGACTCTTGGTTTTCAGTTTCACAGCAGCCTGATAAACTGACAGTTTGGTATTGATTCTCGCTTTTAGAAGTGACCCTTGCTCATTCCATTCCCTCTTCCTTATCTGCAGATACAGCCATCATGAATATACTTCAATCCTCCGCTAGATTAAAAATACAATTTATGATCATATGCATATCAACGCGTAGAACAGAAAAATAAATATGAATGTGAGCGTGATCGAAAAGAAATTACCCTTAGAAAGACAGACATGGACTGAATCTGCTTCTTTGCAACTAAGCCAACCTGCTCCAAAAGTCCTGGATCAATTTGGACCTTATTCAATATGTGCGCGATCAATTTGAAGGCTATTTCTTGCTTCTCCAAGCTCCCCACAGACTCTTCCTCGAAGGAGGCAACTTGCAGTCCAGACGAAGTACCACTAACACCACCATCGTTTAAACCCAAGTTCACGGTCAACTGATCGGCACCACTTAACCACAAATTGCGGTCTCCGTTCATCACCGACCCTCTTGACGAGGCAGTGCTAGCATCGTCTGCAGCTTTAGCAGCCGCACTGCTGGTAGAATTTCCCGGGCTTGCGATAGAATTGGGTTGAGAATGGTGGTTTACATTGAGGGGAGAGCTCTGAGACGAAGAACTCTCCGAGTTCACCCCATTATGTTCCATCGGCGCCCCATTAACGGGGATCGTGAACGCAAACTGATCCATAAGACAAGTAACCAGTTTATTGGCATCCGCAGCTGAAATGGGAATAAAGTTTTGCGACAAAGCGACCAAAAAAGCCTTAGCAATACCCGATAGTTCACCCCCCTTGCCAATCGCCGATATGATTACTTCCCCTGAGAACTCAGCGACCTCGTCAGCAAACTCTGGCGACAATTCAGTCGCTTTCACCGTGTAACTTAAGAAATCCACAAAGAAACTTGAAATGGAATTACCATTAAACGATTGCGGCCAATATGATTGATGGAAAGAATAAGGAATCGACCGTAGGAACTCAAGAACGACAGACTTGGGCCGGAGATCGCTGCAATTGGAGCACTTGGATAAAAAACGAGCCACAGCAAGGATGGCATTGAGTTGAGAGCGGGAAACCCTAGGAGATCCCCCCGAGAGGGATTCCGGGGGCGGGCATTTGCCGCATATCCACGATAGTTTCTCGGAGAATTGCGCTGGATTCTGCGCAATCAGGTCGCACAGCTCGATCAAAGCCTCCATTTCAATCGAGGCCAAAAAAATCCAAACACAAAATTGCCGAAATGTGGAGGGAAAATTCACAATGAGGGTCTCACAATTGTCCAATTATGAAGCTCAGGAAAGCCGTCCATGGCGCAGCCCCACACTGAGACAAAGAAGGGGGGAAGGAGAGAGACTTTGGAGCGAAGAGTGTAGAGAGAGAAAGGGGATAAACCGTTGGTGTTGACGAAGTAACCAAACAATCCAAACCTCTCTCTGCTACATCAATGCAGTTTAATGCCATGCCATTGCTTCGCTTTCTCTGCGCATTCCTTTTTTTTTTTTTTTGGCCAAAGCTTTCTCTGCGCATTCGGTCCTTTGCTTTTCGTTTGAAATGCATTTTTTAGATACAGGTCTGGGTTACGGATCGTGACCCGACCCTTGGCCATGGCCAAAGCACGCCTTTTCGCGCCTCTGGGATCCTTGTCCTGTCCTCGGGTCTATAATATTTTATTACGAGGACGGATATTTTGTGATATTTACACATTACCGCCCCCATTAACGAACATTTGACTTGTGGTGCTTAGTAACATGAATCATGTCATTTGGCATTAAAATTTGTCATAATAAGCCTAATTCAAATTTCAGTCCATATGAAATTTAACTATGTAATTTAATTTCAAAATATAAACACATAGACAGTCTTATAAATATTACCAATTGAAACGAGATGGGAACTTCGACGTAGTTTCCAAAAGTTGCTCCTAGAATCTTGTAGTTAAGCGACTTCTTCATCCCTACTCTTACATATGCAACTCCTGGGAGCTTATACGGTTATCATATGCCGCCTTCAGTTTAAAATATAAGATCTAGTTTGTGGTTCAAATTAAACTGCAAAGTGCAAACTAGATCTTATATTATTTTAGCTACACTTAGCGGGGACAGAGAAGAACCTAGCTTACAACATGAGGTTTTTGACAATACAAGGAGCTTATTTTGCAATATTTTGGCTTTGTCCCGTTAATTAGAAAGTAGAAAAGTGAAGCCAAAAGGGGGCTAATTAAACTGAATCGCAAGATACATCTCAAGATTACCGTAAGGTCTAATTAGCTTAAAACATGAGATATTTGGCAATAGAAAGAACTTGTTTTGCATTTTGGTTCATCCAAGAGAAAAAAGAAGTACTACCTCTGGTCTTAATTATAAGAGTTAATTGACTAATTTGAGGAAATTAAGAAAATAAGTTAAGTTAGTTATTTGTAATAAACACTTGTTGTCTTTTTTAAAATCTTCTTGTTAATCAAATTTATTGGCTAGAACTATCATTATTAGAAGGACTACCTTGAGAAAAAATGTATAAATACAAGAGACAAAGTGGATTAGGGTCTTATAATTAAGATCAAAATAAAAGTCAAACAAGGTCTTATATTAAAGAGAAGAGGTAGTACATAGATAGGTGAAGCCAGAAAGGGACTAAATTGAATTGCATGCAACAAGATTATTTCTGGCAAGCAAGATTTGATATGTGCAATTGGTCGTCTTCAAAATTTGATAGATGTATAATAAATTGGTGTATTGTGTCGTTGAAATATCACTATCTGGTATTATGAGTTTGTCGCTGCCAGCAAGTTTTCAAAGTCATGATATGGTGGACCCTCTTGGGCTCCATTGTCGCCTGGTTTCACTACAAAACAGGTCTGTAATCCGCTGCGTTTTTGTATGAATTTATGCCAAATACCAGACTCATAACGGCCACACAACAGCAACATTAACTACTACACATGGATTTTCTTTGTACAACTATAGCATATAAGGTAAATACCTGAAAGAGGTTTTGCTTTTTTAAAATATAGGAGTGATTCCCAGACGTGCTTTATGATAATCAAAATGCCAAGGCTACTTCTGCATTTTCTTAGGCACAGGCATCCTGACCAATTTTGTTTGAGATATTATTAAGCACTAAATGTAAATATTTCTCTTAATGAAAATTCAAACCTTACTCTTACTAGTTCGCTTCCACCGGGCTAGACCATTCCACTCTCCCTCGTGATCATTGGGGGGAAAAAAAGTATAGGCATGAGCATTGTCAACCTTTTTACATGCTCGATGTACTTTTTCTTCATTTTGAAATCAATTTGCGTATTAAAAACCGCCTTGCATTGTCTCTCTTAAAATTTCGTGCATTAGTCAAACTATGGAATTCCCTCATCTTTCAACGGTGCAGCACCACATTATTATCAGTGCGTGAACACACGTATGTAACTGTGTGGGCATAAAATTTCATGTTCTACTAATAAGGAGAGGTTATAATCTGATTAAAGATACTACTGCTAATTATATGATTTGTTTTCAATGTACAGGTTCAAATTAAATACGCAGCCCTAATTAAGGAATATGAAGTTCCTCCCAATAAATAACACAATCTAATTTGATACTCCTCCGGTCCTTAATATAAGACCCATTTAACTAATTTGATTAGATTAAGGAAGTTAGGTAAGTTAGTTAATTATAAGAAACGTGACACATTTTTCTTAAAATACCATAATCATCTTTCTTAATATCCAATCTCCCTCTTCTACTTGATTATGGTTAAAGGAGTATCCATAGGAGTAATTTAGAGAAAATTGATAAATATAAGAAATGGATCTTATATTTAGGAAGAAAACCAACTAAACAATTGGGTCCTATATTAAGGATATATTAAGGACCGGAGGAGTATATCTTTTAGACTAAAGATATTAAAATCATCATAAACGAATTTGACCGAAAAAACAAAACAACTACAAATAATGTACGTAACATAACATTTTTAGCGCAATAGTTCGAGGTAATGAAAAATTTACTAGAGTCCAAGGAGAGACCACATAGAGACACGCTCTGGACAAGAAAACTCAAATTAATTACATACTTCACATTAGTTTCTAAACCTAACCAACATGTTTGGGACACAACTATATGAAGAAAATCTCATGAAATATAGATGAGCAGTCATATGTAGATAGAGAAGAGTCATTAAACTACGTACTGTTGGGACACGAATTTAGTCAATGGAAGCAAACAAAAAAACGACATGTCCGGAATCGATCATGGATGTGATCAAATATCAGAAGCCAGAAGGCTGGAGCTGTTCACGGAGTCCGAGGTAAGTGATATAGAGGATCCGATCTTTAGCACCTGTTCGAAAATTCCCAGTGTGCTTGCAGTAGTACTTCAATTGTTCTAGCGTACAGCAGCCAAGCATTTGGCCCAAAAACAAGAACAGCCAGTTAATCGACCTCTTTTTCTCCGAAACGACGGGTCGTACACTGTTCCCACAGTTCTTACAAATCGGCAGTATCGGACTTAACCAGACTTTTGGAGCCCTATTGTACATGTTGCACTTGTTAATCGTGATAAAGGTCGAAACTTCTGCGAACTTAGCTTCCAGATCGAAGCCCATCTCGTAGCTACTCTCACATGTCCTGCACTGAACGATTCCTGTAATTGTCAGCATTTGATTATCTCTTAGATACCTCAACGAGTGAACCATGGCTCTTCTATCTGTTGCCCATGGAAACGGTGGAGGAATCGTCTCACTCTTTGCACCACGAGGCCTACGATTTGGGTTCCGAGAAATTCGTGACTGGAGGCACAGGCCTGCTCTCTGGCCAGGGTTTGCGCTTAGGCTTAAACGGGGCTGTGTAGTGGGTAATAGTGGTGCCGGTTCTGTGATAAGTTGTGGATTATTAAAAAACAAAGGATGTGTGGATAATGGTGGAGGAAAGAGTGTCGTAGGATATGCTAGGTCTTGTGTTGAATAGGAATATTGAAGGTTAGGGCTTGATGAAGAGGAAGCAGATGGAAAATTTGGATGGGGTAACGAAGGAAACGAAGGGCATTGTGATGATAATGACAATGGAGGTGATGGTAAGAGATTAGGTTTCGACGATGAAGATGAAGAAAGTGAAAGTTCGAGCAAATCATGATCTTCTTCTTCTGCACCTTTGAATTCATGTCTCTTCATAGTTGAAAGGAAGCGAAAGGCAAAGAAATGATACGGATATATATTTTCGCTGAGTAGCGGTAGATCATGAAGACGTGTGGGTATATATAACAGATGGAGAGATAACAGGGAAGATATTAGTTCAAGTCTGAAGAGAATATAGAGGAGCCCATTCAAATTCCAGATATTAGCACTGATTTTCTGGGAATAAATTCTCTCTCTCTCTCTCTCTTTCCCCTCATTTTCTTTTCAGTATCTACCCAAAAAATGGATAATTTAAATTTAATAGCATATATAAAACTATTATTATAATATTTTTTTTTTACTCTTTTATACTACAGTTTTGAACTGTATTGGTTAAATATCAACCGCTTAAAGTTATTTATTTATTTTATTTAAAATAATAATTTTATAAAATATTGAATCTAAACCATGTACTGTGTTTTTATGTAAATTAAAGGTGGATATGAAATTCTAAAAGGAAAAGATAAAAGCAGAAAAATGAGAAAACCCTAACCCTGATTTTTGGATCTTCACGAAGCTTGATGGTTAGGATTATGTCTAATTGCATACCGGGGTGTCCAGTTGAACTCAACGGGAAGCCAATGGGATTTGAGAATGATAATGGACAGACCGGTAAGTCAAAGGTATAAAGTATTTGCATTAATGATTGTGCGGAAAATGAGATAACTAATCAAGCGATAGGAACTTAGTGAGAAAGGAGTCGTACTAGTATTATTTGAATCTCTTTGATCATTTAATGATTTTAATTTGCTAAATTTTCTGTCCTCATATTCAGAGTATCGTTCAGGTTTAATTAAAAAAAAAAAACCAAAAAGGAAGAAGACCTGTAACTGTTATAGAACATTATATTATTAACTACTATTTCCACATGTAAATCCGATCGGGCTTTGTAAATTTAAATAATAAGAATAAGAATAGGAATTGTTTTCTTCAATTATTCAGTGAATACACTTTTTTGTTGCATCTTTGCTATTTAGTTTTTTTATTAATGATGTAAGCAAATAAAACATACACTACATGTATTTATTATTATCTCTATAGCAAATATGAAGACATTTTTTATATGTTTGTCTCAAAATGCAAAGCATTTTATAAAATTGTAATTTTAATTATTTAGAAATTCCAAATAAAATGCCTGATATTTAAAATGAATAGCATCTGGATAATGGTGTGTAGTCAACACTAAAACCATCATATTTCGATATTTTTTCGATGAACACTTTGCAATGGAGTAGTCGAGTACCTGCGCAATGTGCGGATGGAAATATGTTATATTTCTGCCTTATAAAAACCTATCCAATAGTACTGCACTTGGCCCTAATTATAAGATATCATTGGTCTTATAATTATAACCGGAGATAGTAATATAAGAACTAGTTGACTAATTTAAGTAGATTAAGAAAATCTTTAAGTTAATTATTTATAATAAATAGGTGTTGTCTTTTTAAAAATATTTTAACTAATTATGTGCATTAGCCATATTAGAATTATTATTTGATAGAATCTTTAATATATGTAACTACTACAAAGACTACTTTAGAAAAAATTGATAAATATAAAAGACAAAATAGATTTGTGTCTTATATTTAGAACTAAATTGAATGTCAAACTAATTTTTATATTAAGAATCAGAGGTATTATTATAATAATAAGACAGTAATAGCCAATCCTGTTGACATGCAGATAACAGGTTAAATTACAACGAAAATATTTGCTCAAAAACAATTGCAACGAAAATAAATTCAAATGGCGTAGGAATGACATCTCAAATTGCAAAATAGCTCTTCGCATGCTCTATTATTTCTTATATTGGGAGTATGAGGTACACATAAGATTTGTTGCCAGATATGTATGAACATACTATAATGTTTTTCAAAATAGCGTTATAAAAAATGCAATAGTATTGATGTATTACGAGCAAGAACTATATAATCATGTTCATTGTCCACACAGAAGATGTTACTACCGATCCTAAATATAAAAACTAGTGTAGTGTAACTTTTAATCCTGAATATAAGAGCTAAGTTATATAGTGTAATTTTCACTACATGCAAGTTCTTATATTTAGGACTGGAAGTAGTAGTAAACATATTGTACATATGTTTAATTCATTGATTGAGTCTTGCAAGGGAAGCCAGAAACAAGCTTTTGCCACATCCCTTAAAGTTCTGACCACACCCTCTGTAAAATTTCATCTTGTCATATAAATTATGAACTTTTATACATCCCCAGCATGTGGGTTATCACAGATATGTTCGGGGGGGCCGGGGGACAAACGCCAGACTTTATTTTTGTCCTCCTTCTGTAAATGACAATTTCAGTTGCTTCCTGGAAGGAGCACAAAAGAAATATCCAGTTAGTTCAGATGCTTAACTTCTTCTGCTCAATATTTAATTTGTAGCTTTTTTTGTTTTTTTGCAGTGCTCTGTTCTTTGCTACTTTTGCTTCTTGAGGAGTGTGGAAGACGTTGATTAGATAAGCATGATTGCAGTTCCACTTGGATATACTATATGTCAATTTAACGTCAATGATCATAATCTGCAGCGAAAAACAAAAGAAGGGGAAAAAAAAGCGCTAAAGTGGTGAAGACATGAAGCAATATACATAGCCAACCAAATTTGTTATACTGCCTCCGGTTTTTAATATAAGACCCTGTTTGATTTTTATTTTGATCCTAAATATAAGATCCCAATCCATTTTGTCTCTCATATTTCCTCAATTTTTTCTAATATAGTCCTTCTAACATGATAGTTCTAATCAATATACTTGATTAGCAAGGATATTTTAGGAAAGACAACACTATTAGGACAAATACTAACTCAACTTACTTCTTTACTCTCCTCAAATTAGTCAACTGGCTCTTATAATTAGGACCGGAGGTATATATTCCATGTTTAAAAGATTTTTTACAACTAGAATTATTACTCTTTATTATAATAAATATTTTTGACATATTATATTATCAATCGTCAATCAAATTCTTGTAAGGATGAGAAATTAAGCAAGCGTAATCAGGTGTCTCTTAGCTTGGACTCAAAGCATGTACTATTTGGTAGATGAGGATGTGGAGATACATATAGATATATATATATATATATATATATATCAAAAGGGAGAGATAATAGATATTATTAAAGTTGTAGGAGAATATCGAGGAGGCCATTCATATTCTTTATATCAGTGCTATATTCTGATCTTTGTATGGCATTTTGCATTAATGACATGCTATTATATCCTATAGATAAGATTGTATGAAGAGCAAGACTATTCTTACACCGTTTCTATGGGCAACAGATCGAAGAGTCATGACTCATTCATTATATGTATCCAAGAGATAATTAAATATGGACAATTAGTTTAATGCAGAAGATGCTATTAGTGATAAGACCTCAGCACCAGAAGAAAATCGAGTTATTGAATCTTGATCATTTAATGAATGCCCTATTTCTTACCATCATAATATGTTACAAGATCTGTTTGAATTTTGATAAGTTCAAAATCAAGAAATTAAGGCCCGATAGGCCATTATTGTTTAGGTAATCTTTCTAGTCTTGCAAACAATGAGAATAAGAATTAATCAATATCTTTTGCCAGGAGAATTACTTAATTCGACTTTTAGTATAATAACTATTTAACTTATTTAAATAGATTAAATAAGTTAAATAACTTTGTTAATAATCACAAACATAACATGATTTTCTTGAAATACTTTTGTGAAATATTAGATTATATATTGTTTGACAATATGCTCGAATTTGACTGTGTCATGTAGCCATACAAGATTATATATATATCTACACCAAAACATTAGATTAGCTGATGAGTTAGTTACATATTATTCTAGATAAAAAATTGTACTCTTCTGGTCCTTAATATAGGACTCAATTCTTGAATTGGTTTTGGTCCTAATATAATATCCATTCTCATATTTATCAATTTTCTCTAAATTACCCCTGTGAATACTCACTTAACTATAATCAAGTAGAAGAGGTATGGGTATTAAAAAAGATGATTATGGTGTTTTAGGAAAAATGTGTCAATTTTCTTATAATTAACTAACTTACTTACTTTCTTAATCTAATCAAATTAGTTAAATATGTCTTATATAAGGGTGTGTTTGGCAAGCCCCCCAAACCATGGTTTGGGAAAATGTTAGTCAAACACCCTTAAAAAATCAAAACCATGGTTTGGTTCAAAACCATGGTTTTGACTCCAAAACCATGGTTTTGAGAAAAGCAGAATTTTTTACCTTTGGAGGAAAAATGAGAGAATGTGAGAGCCTATAGGATATGTATCTTGTTGTTTTTTTTATAAACATATTTTTTATAAATATATTTAATCTTATATCTTATAATATATATATAATATACATATTAATTATTTATTAATTATATTATCTTATATTATAATATAATGTTTATAAAAAATATATCTTAACAATTTTTATTCCTTCAAATTAAAATATATCATAAAATATATTTTTTCTATATTATCATATTAATTTATGCCAATTTGTATATATAAAATACTTCTAATAACAACTATCCAAACACTCACACTTCTCAAAATCACTTTTTCACAAAATCTATTCTTCCCAAAATCTATTTTTTTCAGAATCTATTCTCCAGAAGTTATTCTCCAAACCATGGTTTGTTTCATCCAACACACCCTAAGGATCGGAGGAGTAGGTATGATAGATGAAGTGAATCATAGTACTTATTTTGACTCATTAATTTTGATAACATTTCTGAGGAGATATGTAAAGAGGTGATAGGAAATCCATATCTGATACCTTTCTTCTTTTCTTTCTTTTTTTCATTTTATAAAATTTAAACATACACACACAAAACATATCAACGTCATGTTTGAACATAGAATTTCATCCAAGCACAATTTGGTAATGGGGCAATAATACCCTCTTATTTATCCATCTTTGACAATGGGGAATCAATTTTTTTTCCGCCAAAATAGTCTTTTTCATCTCTTCCATTAGACAT